ATTACTGGTTTACTGTATTTTTTTGTTCTGTCTTGTTGAGCATAAAAGACTTCAAAACATTTATTTTTCTAGCAATACATATTTAATAAAATACTAAGTCTAAACAAACAGCCTAAATAAAGAAATAAACTATGCCAAAATGGGTAAAAGGGTTGTGAATTCAGCATGTATTAAAGTCACCTGTTGGGACGAAATGGTTTAATTCTTTTTGAATTATTTATTTATTCTCTAACATGTCTACTAGATCTCACAAGGGATTTGCATTTCCCGTTCACAGTTTAAAAAGACATTCATGCTTCTAATAATTTATAAAACAAACAAACAAATAAAAAAAGAAAAGACACCAACATGTAGCATGTTCATGAAAAATGCTCTCTAACCTCTTGTATGTATTCCTTTACTAATTTTGCCAAATCCAACAAAGGTGAAGTTGCATTTCTTCTGGGGTCTGCTTTTTATAAGACAAGATTCATTAAAAGGCGGATTCATAAGAACGTTTTTTTTTAAAGAATTCTCCTCAGTTATATGATCATGTGCTTCTTGAAACTTCATAGAACTTACTATTTAGGACAAAAAAACTATAGGCTTTACAAAATGCTCTTTAGTTTGAAGCAGGACATAATTTCCATAATTAAAGGAAGGAGAAGAATGCCTCTAAAACTACCCTTCTATTTCTACAAGTGCAATATATATTTGAGAAACATCTGAAATCAGTCTACCTCACTAGATATTCTAATATTAATTTTATAAAGCTTATTCCTATCTCAGCAGTTCTCAACATTAAAGCTCCTCAGCTGGAAGACCGCCTTATAAGGTCAAGTAATTATCAAGATGGAGAACACCTGGAGGACTTAGCACATCTCCTCTGTTAAAGAAGAACATTTTTCTGCTTAAAAATCAAGGTCTGAGTTACTGTTTAACAGCAAGACAATGAGGCCCACTGTGGCATTTCGGTCCATAAACCTGTACCTAATATTTATACTGTACCTACACTAGCTCCTGAGAACACAGTGCAAATCTCGATTAATGCTTTTAAAAACATCCATTTGAGAAAAAATTATGTGGCATTCACAAAGATTTAGCAAATGAAAAAATATATATATTATTGCATCTGTTAAAGTTGCTTTAAACATTACAAATGTCAATGTTTGTTAACCATTTCCTTGACAAACTCTTGAAATCTTACTACTTAATTTTTTTTTGCAATTTTATGCAAATGTGGAAATGTTATGTACAATGTAATATTAATTTCTTTTAAAGGGATATTTGTTTGAAAGATTGTTGGTCGCTCTTTTCCATGCAATGAAAATGAATGATGACTGCAACTTTCCGGCTTCAAAAAGGATAGCAAAATTGCTGTAAAACAGCATTAATGTGATCTATAATACATTATATTTAAGTATTCTGCCATACAACAGGTTTGTGAGAGAAATGGGTTAAAATAACATGTTATTAATTCATCGAAACTGTAGTGAGAAGCTAACTGTTATAACTAGATCATAGTAGACTGAGTCTGTGAGCTGAACTTGAGAACTGCATCAGATTTGTGAACGAATCATTCAGATTGGTTTGTGAACTGGATTCAAATAAATCTGATTGTCAAGATTTGAAGTAAAAAATGACTTACATTTCATTCAGTCCATTCATCACAGCGCACAAGTCATATTGACTAGCCTACTTATATGGTACATAAAGGTACATAATTTTTGAGGCTTGACATCTTCAGTCATCATCATTCAAAATATCTTTTGTGTTTCCCAGAAGAATAACGTTATACAGGTTTGGATAAAATTGTAATTTTGGGTTGAACTCAAACTTTAAGCTGTAGAGAAACTTCACATCTTTACATCGCCTCTTGCAAGAACCCACTTCTTTCTTTACCGTACATGTACTGTATGTCAAAACATATTTTACCACCACTAAACTTACACCATTACAATTTGGCTTGTGGTTGAAACGCAGCAATAAGTGATGAAAGAAACACACTTGCTGCAGTGACAACCACATCATATAAGTGAATGAATCTATGGAATTAAACATAGTATTCACAACAACTTCCAGCTTGTTTACAGTTTGTAAAAGAAAAAATCTATAGGTTCTGTTAACAAAATAATTTTCATTCAATTCATGTTTCTATCAATTTAAGAAGAACCAGGATCTGCCTTTCATGTTTTACTTCCTATTAAAGACCACTTCCTATTTCTCACTAAATGTAAACAAGTTTTTAATCACTCGGCCTCGAATGTGAGAGTTGTAATGCCAAATGTTTCGCCATGTAGAACAATGGCAGTGGCTTTACCTTTAAGGGCGTTGCCGAATGTTTCTGTAACTAAACTTTTGGACCATGACCAGTTCAATAAGCGTACCTTTTTAACTTCTTTCTCGATCTCCATTCTTGTCGAGCTTGTTTAGATGTGATAACCAGCGCTGACTCTATTCCCACCGGCAACTTTCGCCAACGGGTCACTTTCGTTGAACGGGACAGACTCCCACCTCACACTCACGCACGCACGCACGCTGAAAGACTTCCGCTCATTGTGCGCTGTTCAGCCAATAGGAGCAGAGATGCAGATGCATTCTACCAATCAGAGCCTTGTATGAGATGTCTCTGTTACAAAATGAAACGCTCGCGGACTGATGGGAGAGCTGGAGGCTGAGACATGAACTAGCAGAATAGTAGTTCATTGGCTACTGTAACGTGGATTAAAATGCTGATTAATGACATTTGTTTTATAATTATTTTATATATGTATTATTAATTTGAATAAATTATTAAATTATTATTAATTAAAATAAAACGTTTATATATATATATATATATATTAGTATTTTTCTATTTTAATTGCATAGAAAAGGACCTATACATTGCCATGTTACAGTTATATGTTACAGTGAATTATAATACTACACTACTAGCCAAGTCTCATAAAAAACTTTTGGGGAAATAAACCTTAAAAATATATTTTTAAATGTTTTTAGAATTTTCATTTGAAATATTTCATTTTACATCATAGCATTGTTTTGTTCATAATTGTGTGTGTGAAAATTCTTCAAAAAGATAATGTTCTTTAATGTAAAAATTCAAAGTGAAAGGTTATGTTCTTTTTATTTTTCACTCAAATGATCAGGTTGTTAATATAATTTATAATAAAAAAAACGTGCATGGAAAAATATAAAATGAATACATTTGTGGGGCCTCAGAAATGTGTATATACATATTAATTTGTTTAACATGCTTTTTCTTATTTGACATACAAAAATACACATCCTAACAGGTCAGAGAACATCAGTAAGTGCATGCGGAGGGCAGGAAACAGCCGTACTTTGAGAGAAACTGATGCTCTGGCCTCATACAGGAAGCTGTGGCTTATTCAGTGTTTGTGTTGGTTTTGGAAAGGGTGTGGTGGTGTAAGACTTTAAATTCTGACATACTAAATTCTGCTTTTCTGCCTCTCTTTTAGAGGTTTATTAAAGATTTGTGTAGACTTGTCTTCACTAAGCCTGCTTTAGTCATTTTGTTGAGTTGATATGGACATGAAGCACTAACAGCATGGCCACAGCTTCATTGTCATGACTAACTATATATGTCACCAGCTATAATGACACTGTTGTCTGAATAAAATCAGAAACTGGGTTTGTTTCCTGTCTTACCTTGTATGTAATTACTGCTCACTCACTCAATCAATCACTAAAAGCACAGTCACTTCTTTATTTTGCTCTGTTTCATCTAGATTACAAAAGTGTCTTTCAGTGCATTACTATGGTAATGGAGGTGTAGGTTTGAACCAACATAAATTACATTGAAACATTTTGCATTCTACCTATGATAAAACTGTGCTAGATGTTAAGTTTTGTGAAGAAGGGCCACTGGTAGGAAGCTTTTTTTAGCTGTATTTATGTTCAACGTGCATAACAATGACTGTAAAATATGTATATTAGGTATTGAAATTACATATTTTGAGTTTTGAGATTTGAGATTACGCTACTTTGGGCGCTTTCGGCATTACTTTAACCACCAACCAACACACCCCAACCCCCCACCCCGCCCGCACCCACTGTCCTCTTTTTGGAAAACTAAAATATGGTCACCCTAGCCAACAGCTTTACTTCAACCACTAAGCAACAACATCATATTTTTCACGAAAGTTCCATAAACTAAGTTGCATCACAATCTCTAAAAATGAAGATGAAAAACAGCTGCATTGTTCTCATCATCAGACTCAGAGGCAGTGTTACACAAGGTTGTGAGAACCAAAGCAGAAGGCCTGTCTGAGCTGATTTAATGTCAACACAAGGTCAAAACTATACTTGGTACAAGCATTTCCTGCTATTCTATTCCACACAGCAAGATCTTGTTTTGCAAAGAGATATAAATGCATAAACTAGATAAATGTTTATTTTCTAATAACCATTCTAACAGTTTATTCAAACGTATGGGGTTTTGACTAACAGAACCATGACTAGCAGTGACTAAAATAGAAATGTTGTGTGAAAGGATGAGTTTGTTTACATGTGTGGGTAGGCTCTGTGATGTTTAATCACCATTTAGGTGTGACTTTCCCGTCAGATTGTGACTTATTATGAGGTTTTGCAAATGAGAAAACTGCAGAAGAAGTAAATGATTACCGTGGTTTGGTCATCTTGACCTGTATAATAATATCTGATAACAAAATGTCATTAACACTGTTCTGTCCATCAGCAGATAGATAGATAGATAGATAGATAGATAGATTTGGTCTTGTTTTTACTATCTTTCTATCTCGGATCAAACCAGGTAAGGCACTATTGATTACATTTACCAGTCAAAACACCGTATGCCGCTATACTAGAAGTAACAGCTGCATTGCTTTCATTTGTCAAAATTCAGCATTATTATTGTATAATATTGTGGGAACCACAGCAGCAGGCTTGCCAACCCATTACTACCTCAAATACAAGGTCACAGTCACCAGGGCAGTATATAAAGAATGACTCTAGCCAGAAAGTTCTACTCAAGCAAGATGAAGGGGCTACTGGTGCTGACTGTTCTGTTTGTGGCTGTGTTTGGCAAAAAGACCTTTGAGGGGTGAGCTCACAAATCCTATTCACAGTATCCTAGGTTAAATGAGAATACATATTCTGCATGGTTATGCACCAAAAAATATAAAAGCGGTGCAGCATTTTACATTGAGTTTGAGAGAGAAAGCTGTGGTTTATTCAGCGCTGAGTGTTCAGGAGGAGGGTCATCATGGTCATAGCTACAGTGATCAAATTTAAAGTGTGATTTTTAGTGTTCATAGCTTTACTTTATAAGATGATGATGATGAAAGGAATACTATTTTTAACTGCTCTGTTTGTGGCCGGATTTGCCAAAAAGAGTCACTTGAGTCATAAATGGACATTTGTTCAGGAGGAGGGTCATCATGGTCATAGCTACAGTGATCAAATATAAAGTGTGATTTTTAGTGTTCATAGCTTTACTTTATAAGATGATGATGATGAAAGGAATACTATTTTTAACTGCTCTGTTTGTGGCCGGATTTGCCAAAAAGAGTCACTTGAGTCATAAATGGACATTTTATCCAAAAAATTATCATTTGCTCACCTTCATGTTGTTCCAAAAAAAGTTGTTGTTTTAAAAAATGGCTTTCATTGTATGGACAAAATATCTTAATTTGCAATGAAAATTCAAATGAAGCCACATAACCTAAGAAGTATTCCTGCATATGTTTTGATGTATCTACAGAGACCAGCTTCTTCAGATCACTGCAAAAGATGAGGCACAGATCTCTCTCCTGAAGGAACTTTCTGAACAGGAACACCTCGGGGTAAGTTTCACATCAAAACCAGAGATCTACTTATTGATGTCTCTCATATGCATTTGGTTCCATACTTGTTTCCTTCTGTGTTCAGTTGGACTTCTGGAGGGAACCCGTTCATGAGTCCTTGCCTGTGGATGTCCGTGTCCCGTTTCACAGCCTACAGGCAGTCAGGGCGTTCCTGGGATACAATCAGATCCAGTATAATGTTATGATTATGGATGTCCAGGTGGGAATATTAATTAAACTTTTTAATTGCTATGATTATATTAGCTTGGAGACAATAAATCATCATACGACACACATTCTTTGGATACACCAGGAAACTTTTTTGTCAATTGGACCCCTGTTTATCTAAAATATTTCCTTGAAGTACCCTGTGGGATTTTAAGTTAATATTTCAATAACTGACACTTGTTCAAGGTTCCCTGGTGTTGGTTAATGGTCACATAACATGCAAGTACACAAATAAAAAAAATTGTTTTTTTTCGTTTTTGTTTTAATTTTTTATTTAATTTTACATTTTTATTAATTATTAGATTTCCATCAACTCAGAAACCAACACAGGTTCGCGAACCCCGGTTTTGGTTACACCACAATTAATCTTTGGTCATATTTAATATATAATGTGAGTAATCACAAAATGTAAAGTTCATTCTTCTTTCTCTGTTAGGATTTGCTGGATGATGAGGAACGTGAGATGGTGAAATATCGTTCCTTTCCAAGAAGTACCGATGACTTTGTCTACACCACATACCATGATCTGAACTCTGTGAGTTCTGCAACTTTAATTATATGACTGCATTGTAAGACTTGGTGGATGTGACTATGTTGTTTCATGCTTTTCCGAATTTTACCATTTATATTTTAAACAATTTTACACACAATACGCAAACAGTCATTTGATCTTCACCATGTTTCTCTCAGATTAACTCTTTCATAGACATGCTTGTAGCAGAGAACAGCAATCTGGTCAGCAAAATTGTGATTGGTCAGAGCTACGAGAACCGCCCCTTGAACGTCCTAAAGGTAGGTCACAAATAATGATAAATTGCAGCTAGACCTCTAGTGAAAATGCTATTATTTCACATTTTCCTAATTTTGTATTTTCCCCCCATTACTAATTATGTTAATTACATATTTGAAATTATGAATTAGCAATTATATTAACAATTTGAGTGGAAACTTTAAATGGAAAATTAACATTTATTTTAAGAAAACAACCATAAATTATGCATTATTCCAACGAACATCAACAGACGAACAAATAAAAATATAAAAATAAATAAAAATAATAAATAATCTGTAAGAAATGTATCTCTACAAAATGATACAATATGAGGTCACTCCTCAATGTCAGTTTTGAATAAATTTTTCAAAATTCTGAAACATTTCCAGATTTAAAGATGACACATGTCATTTCTGCATCATTATCATTTGAACAGAAAAAAATTGCTTTAAATTAGATTTTAAATATTTCAGTGTGGCCTTTTGAATTCCACTGTATATATATATAGGCCTATATATCACATTTCATATGCAGTATGTGTAATATAATTATGATTTTATCATTATGACCTCATGTCCTCTTACTCAGTTCAGCACTGGAGCGAACCGTCCAGGTATCTGGATCGACACTGGCATCCACTCTAGAGAATGGGTCACCCAGGCCAGTGGAATCTGGTTTGCCAAGAAGGTAAAGTTATTAATTGGCATGCTATAAAAACCGATTTGAACAGGAATAGACTAAAGCACATATACCCATGTGTTCTGTTGTATGCAGATCGTGACAGACTACGGACGTGACCCCGTCCTCACCGACATCCTTAGCAACTATGATATTTTCTTGGAGATCGCCACCAACCCTGATGGTTTCGCATACACCCACAGCAATGTGAGTTTTAAAGCCTGATGTCTGGAAGACTTCACATGCACATTTAGTTCAGAACAACTGTATTTTGAGAACGTATTCCAACGGACTGCTTTTCAATTGCAAATCTGTTTGGTTAAGGACCGAATGTGGCGTAAAACCAGAAAGCCCAACTCTGGCTCCAGCTGTGTTGGAGTTGACCCCAACAGGAACTGGGACGCTGGCTTTGGAGGTGAGATGCTTTTATCATTGCAGTTATACTCAGAGCTGGGCAGATTACTTACAAATTGTAATCCATTACTGATTGCACATTACATGATAAAAACTGTAGATAGTAACGTAATCTAGGTTACTCATTATAGGTAATGTATTCAGACTTCTTTTTAGATTACTTTTAAATTACTTTTTTATGTAACTTGTTTTAAACTTACCATTGAATTGACATAAAAAAGTAAAGAGAAAAAAATTAATTTCATTTTTTGAAATCAACCTCATAAAATGCATTAAACATTACATTAAACCAGGGTTTCCCAAACTAGGCTTAATGTTAGAACTGCAGTGGGTTTGTGAGTCGATAAAAATGCTTATCATTAATTAAATACTAAAAATAGAAATATTTAATTTGTTTACCTGCATGCCAATCTGACCATTAAGCAACATCGAACTGTAAATATGCAAATGTGTTGTTAAATGATTGAAATATTTACTTCCATTAGAGATATTTCATGTTAAAGTGGTTTTGGCTGACAAAAATGATTGGGAATCCATTTAAAAGAAGAATTAGGGAGAATCAGTAAATTATCAATCATTTACTGCCATTGTGCGAATAATATGTAATCCATAAAAAGTAGTACTGTCAAACGATTAATCACGATTAATCGCGTCCTAAATAAAAGTTTTTGTTTACATATTATATGTGTGTGTACTGTGTATATTTATAATTTTTATGTAAATACACACACATGCATGCATATATTTAAGAAAAATATGTTATGTTTATATATTAAATATATTTATATATAATATAAATTATATGAATGTAAATATATACATGTAAATACATGTCAATATTTTCAAAACATATACTGTACGTGCGTGTATTTATATATACATAATAAATATACACAGCACACACATTTATTTTGGATGCGATTAATCGTGATTAATTGCTTGACAGCACTAATAAAAAGTAACTGTAATCTAATTACAAGCATTATAAAATGTAATATACCCTAATTACGAGTACTTGATTTTTGGAATCTGATTATGTAATCCAGATTACATGTAATCAGTTACTACGGTTATATTGTAAAGCAAGGCCGTAATGGATTAATGGATTCATGGGAATAAAGAAAACGAAAGAATAACAGTAAAAGAAAAATCAAATGCACATGTTCAATCTTATTTTTAAGCCTAAAACATTAACCACTGAAAATTATTCTTGTCTCGTTACATTCAATTAGGAATTACAGGTTATATTTTGGATTCAAAATGCTAAAATTTGACTATAAAATTGAGTTCACTGCATAAAAGGATATTAGCTTCAGTCATTTAACAGTTCTATCATAAAACAGAAATATTAGCCTACATTAGCCTAAATTTAGCCTAAAACATATTTGTATGAGAAAAAAATCTGAATTTCATGATATAAACTCATGACAAATATTAGACAATTTTGTCATTTCTGATTACTGTTACATTCTAATTAATCACTATGGTGGTTATAGTCCTACTGTAAGGGGCTTTGAAAATTCCAATAGTATATAATACTTTCTTGTTTTTCTGTTTTCCAACCTCAGGTGCTGGTTCCAGTAGCAACCCCTGCACTGAGACGTATCGCGGACCCAGCGCTCATTCTGAGCCCGAGGTCAAGGCCATTGTGGACTTTGTGAAATCACACGGCAAACTCAAGGCCTTTGTGTCCATCCACAGCTATTCCCAGATGCTCCTCTATCCATACGGATACACAAGCACTCCTGCAAAGGACCAGGCTGAACTGGTATGCATGTGGAAACACACTATTCTAGATATATGTAGCATCAATTAAATCAAATTCTGTTTTGTTCCTTCAGCATGAGCTCGCCAGGAAGGCTGTCACTGCCCTGCAGTCACTGTATAACACTCGCTACACATATGGAAGCATCATTACTACCATCTGTAAGTTTGAGAAGATTCATTTAAGTTCATATCAGTTTTGCACCCTGCTAACAATCTCTCTGTCCACAGATCAAGCCAGTGGAGGCACTATCGACTGGACCTACAACCAGGGCATCAAATATTCCTACACCTTTGAGCTGAGAGACACTGGCCGCTATGGTTTCCTCCTGCCTGCCAATCAGATCGTCCCCACTGCTGAGGAGACCTGGCTGGCCCTGATGGCCATCATGGAGCACACCAGGAATAATCCATATTAAACATATAACAATGCTTCTGTGATGAGTCAAAGTGAATAAAAGAGTGTTAATAAAAACAACAAAAACATTTACCATTTTATGGAAGTTGCTTTAATATACATTACAAAGAATATATTGTTCAGCCCTGAAAAGTCTCTGGATGCTGACTGATATATCTGTACCCTATGAAGTATTGGTGGTTACTAGAGATTTTATAAATTGATCAGTATGGGTCGATATTAGAGATTTAATTACTCATTCTTATTTCTTCTTTTCCTACATTTGGATTACATTTGTCATTATCTATTGGCAGTGTTATTAGCACCATTGAGATACTATTATAGGCTAGTTATGAATTTATTTATTCATTTAAATTCTGAATTAGATTTTGTGTTATTATTTCCTGCTTTCATTTTGATTTTAGTTAAAGTTTTAGCAATTTATTTCGGTTTTGGTTTTAGTCATTTTATTGCATCAAGTTAAACTAAATAAAAATGAGAAATGTTGCCTTGGCAATTATAGCTGACATAAGTTTTCATATATTTTATTTTAAGTTAACATTTTAGTTTAAGCCAACTATAATAACCCTGTCTAACACTCACTTAAAGTTCAGCTTTAAAACACCAATAATTAAATAACAATTAAATGTCAGCAAATCTCAAAATGAATATCTATTTATTCATCATACATCATAATGTTATGATGTCCAAATTTACCTGTAGCCTTAATTTTAGTTTTGAATGATTTTAACAATTGATTTTAGTTTTCAGTTTTCATTTTGATATCGACCATTTATCAGTTATTGGCCATATTATTAAAATAATTACCAACACATCAATTTTATCAAATTTTATTATAGTTTTGAAGTGAAAGAGCTCAAAACGTCCTCACAAGCACAAAAAGGGCATTTATATTGCATAATTCTAATGCTGTACATTTAACGGTAAAAATAACTCTGTACTCACGCAACATTGCGACAACACCCAGACTCATCCACATTTACATGTCTGACACCTGTTGGGAGATTAGAAAGTTGGTCCATTTATCATGTACTTATGTAATGTAAGGTGGAAATTTATTATGTAATGAACAGAAAGCAGAACAGATTTTTTTTATTCTTCAACATTTGAAAAACTAGTGCTACAGAATAGAGCATTGAGCTGTTACTGCTCTTTACATTCCTCCAAAAGATCTGTAAGCCTGAAAAGTTTATTTTCAACAGGAGCTCGATCAGTTAAGTCTTCAGATTCATGAATATGTTGCTACAGCAAAAGTATGTATTTAACCTCACTGTACATTGTACAAGCATAAGAGGCTGTTACTGATTGATAGATCATTTCACATGCGAAGGGGGTGTTTTTTGCACACCCGCAAAAAAATAAAAAAATAAAATAAATCGACAGTTTTTGGTAAAAATAAATAAATAATAATAATAATAATAGATAAAAAAAATTATAAAAACATTAATTAACTATGAGTATCTACTGTATGTGAAATTCAGGGGAAAATAATAATATGATATTAAAATAATAATAATTTCAAAACCTTACTGCCATATTGTTGCTCTTAATGATTCAGCTTTTCAGTTTTTGTCAAATAAAAGAAGTTACAGCAAATAATATATGTAATAATAATCCAGCCATAATGTAACTCCATGGCAGCTATAAATTCATAAGTGCTTCTACTGGAAATTATGGCATTTTGTGCAAACATAACTGATTAGTAAATAATTTTAAATGTATTCTGACTGATGCTTCCAAAATGATCAAGATCAAGTCACTCTCGTAATTTCTACAAAAACATACATCAGCAATGTTCGCAAATCATTAAAACAACATTATAGAGAACAAATGAGTATGTTTGCATAAAAGACAAGATAAAAAATGTGAGCTGTGGTGGACTGAATTTGCAGTTTAGTTCCTCATTTGACAGAGAATTGTGGTATGAGGATTTAAAATACTGTAAATACAGCAACTTGTTTTCTTCTCAATAAACCCTGAGTGGCTATATTAAGTAACAGGCGAGAGAACAGATGCAATGTTCTCATCCCTTAAATTCAATCAATGTTTTATAAGGTTATGAGAACCAAAGCAGCAGGTATGTCAGACCCGTGACCTGTTAGCTCAGTCATAATCACCATGTTAGTATATAAAGGTGGTCGCTAACTGTGAAAAACTCTACTTCAAGCAGCAAGATGAGGGGGTTACTGGTTCTAACCGCTCTTTTTGTGGCCGTGTTTGGCAAAGTGACTTTTGAGGGGTGAGTTCACAAATCTTACATCTCTATTTCTCATACTTTTTGCTTTCAAATTCTCACATTCACATATAAACACATGTTGGAATTGGAATACATATGTCCTATTATATACTAACAACTGACAAAAAGCTGACATCTTAATTTGGCTATTATTCTTTTTGATATCTAAAGCATACATTTTAGATTAACAAAATTTACATTTGCAAAATAGGCCTACTGAATATTTAGAATATTATCACTAAGTATTAATGTCTCTATAGAGACCAGGTTCTTCGGATCACTGCACAAGATGCAGAGCAGATCGCTCTCCTGAAGGAACTCCCTGAAGAGATACTCGGAGTAACGCCCATTGATCATGTTTCAGATCATCAGTGTTTCAGATTTGTTGGAATTATATTATAATATATAATATAAAATATATCTTACATTTTGCTCTGTGTTCAGCTGGACTACTGGATGCCGCCCTCTCGCGTATCCCTGCCCGTGGATGTTCATGTCCCGTTTCACAGCCTACAGGCAGTCAGGGTGTTCCTGGCATACCATCAGATCCCGTATCACGTCATGATTGAGAATGTCCAGGTGGAAATATATCAAAACTGTGTTTGGGGGGAAAACAAACAAACATGAAAATGAATGAAACATTTAATCATATTTAGTTGCATATAACACTAAATAAGTATTTATCAGGAATAATTACAAAATGTTAAGTTGAAAATATTTATTTGATGGCTTTCTGTACCATAAGGATTTGCTGGATGATGAGGAACGTGAGATGGTGAAATATCGTTCCTTTCCAAGAAGTACTGATGACTTTGTTTACACCACATACCATGATCTGAACTCTGTGAGTGGTGCAACTTTAATTCATTATCAGTACAAGACATTGAAATTTCAACATCAGCCTTTTAGAATAAACTACGTTTTATTGTGCTTTAAAATGGTTCGCGTCAAATGTGTTTCTGACTAGAGTTCAGTGTGTTGTTTATAAACCAGCACAGCCCACAAACCATTCTCAATCATTTGATCTTCACCATGTTTCTCTCAGATTAATTCTTTCATGGACATGCTTGTAGCAGAGAACAGTAATCTGGTCAGCAAAATTGAGATTGGTAAGAGCTACGAGGGCCGCTCCTTGGATGTCCTGAAGGTAGGTCATGACTCATGATCAATAACAGTCTTATGGTATTCTTTAAGCATGCTTACTTTACTATTAGGAAACTATTTTTATTTTTGGACATTAATTATACTTCAGTCAGTGTTAGTGGAAATTAATTATTAAATCCCAATTTGCATATTATCTATAATACATAATATGCCATATTAGTGTGTCCCAAATCATATGCTGATAATTGTATATCAAAAAATACCAAATCTTTGGTGAGTCCATGAAGTATGAATCATGCGTTTCATTAGCAAATTTTGCGTACAAGCTACTATTGCGATAAATATTGCGATTATGCCATGATTCTAATCAATTAAAAAGATAGTGAACCCCATGATTTATTCACCCTCAAGCCATCCTAAATGTCCTGGCTTTTCCAAGCTTTATAATGGCAGTGAATGGCTGTTGAGATTTTGAAGTCCAATAAAGTGCATCCATCCATCATAAAAAGTGCTTCACACGGCTCCGGGGGGTTTATAAAGGCCTTCTGAAGCGAATCGATGCATTTGTGTAAGACAAATATCCATAGTTAAAACTTTATAAACCGTAATCTCTAGCTTCTGCTAACTGCCGTATGCAAGTTTACGAGAGAGTAGCGTTCCAGCTAAGGACGTAAGCGAATGCGGTGACGAATGAGAAAGCGGAGAGGAGAGAGCAAAACAAAACACAAGACACAAATTAGAAGTACAAAACGATGATTTGTAAAAAAATATAAAGGCAAGAGGAGTTCGATATAAGCCAAGAGAAACAAAACTTGGTTCTCGTGAGACTAGTTTAGGCTACGCCCACATCCTAAGTCATCCGCTGGAATGCCACTCTCTCATGAACATGCGCATGCAGCCTACACTACACTTATTAAAAATAAAAGTTAGGGGTAGCGATACAATGGAAAAAATGTGGGGCGTTGGGTTCATTTTGGGTTCCTTCAAAAAATGTTTCTGATAACAGCACTTAAAAGAACCATTTTTTTTTTAGTGTGAAGAATTAATCAATAATCTAAAGAACCTTTTCCCACTATATAGAACTTTTTTTGTGAAATGGAAAGGCTCCATGAATGTTCAAAGTTCTTAATGGAACCATCAGTGCTAGTAAAGAACCTATACATTTAAGAGTGTATGCAATTTAAAGGTCAGAATAAATGAATATTTCCATTGGTTCAATATGACTAATATCCTGTCATTCAGTTCAGCACTGGAGCGAACCGTCCAGGTATCTGGATCGACAATGGCATCCACTCCCGAGAATGGATTACACCGGCCAGCGCAATCTGGTCTGCCAAAAAGGTCAACTGAAATTATGAAACACAATCTACTCAGTCCACTACCACAAAACTACTGGTCAACAACTTTCCCACTTGTGTTTTCTATTGCATAGATCGTGACCGATTATGGACGTGACCCCGTCCTCACCGACATCCTTAACAACTATGATATCTTCTTGGAGATCATCGCCAATCCTGATGGTTTCGCATACACCCACAGCAATGTGAGTCTGATGCCTGGAAGACTTCAAATTGAAAGCTAATCTCAATTGTAATAAAATTTGCCCTCTTTCTTGTGTAATCCAATTGTTTGGTTGGTTGGTTAAGGACCGCATGTGGCGTAAAACCAGAAAGCCAAACCCTGGCTCCAGCTGTGTTGGCGTTGACCCCAACAGGAACTGGGAAGTTGGCTT